TTGAGACGGAGTTTCGCTCTTGTTACCCAGGCTGGAGTGCAATGGCGCGATCTCGGCTCACCGCAACTTCCGCCTCCTGGGTTCAGGCAGTTCTCCTGCCTCAGCCTCCTGAGTAGCTGGGCTTACAGGCACGCACCACCATGCCCAGCTAATTTTTTGTAGTTTTAGTAGAGACGGGGTTTCACCGTGTTGACCAGAATGGTCTCGATCTCTTGACCTTGTGATCCACCCGCCTCGGCCTCCCAAAGTGCTGGGATTACAGGCTTGAGCCACCGCGCCCGGCCTAATTTTTGTATTTTTAATAGAGACAGAGTTTCACCATGTTGTCCATGCTAGTTTAGAACTCCTGACCTCTGGTGATCCACTCGCCTCGGTCTCCCAAAGTGATGGGATTACAGTCCTGAATCACTGCGCCCAGCTCAAATCTTATTCTCTATTTAGCACTTATTTCTGCCTTTAATTATATGTGATTGTATAATAATACATTATCCCTCTCTTGACTAAACTCTGGAGAGCAGAATATGACTGATTCCTCTCTTAGCTTTCTCGGTACCTAATACAGAACACAAATTCAATAATTTGGCCAAATTTATAAAGGCTCAATATATTTAAGGAGCTAAAACTATTCTGAATACATTTCGGTAAAAACGGATGTACTTTAAAAGCCTTAACCTGGTGCTACATTAATTGGGATTTACCCCAGAAAGATTAACTCATTGGCAGCACCTAATAGTCACTAAAGGTGGTGCTTTTTTTTTTTTTTTTTTTTTTTTGATTTGGTTTTTTACTCTGTCGCCCAGGCTAGAGTTCGGTGGCGCGATCTCGGCTCACTGCAACCTCTGCCTCCCGAGTTCAAGCGATTCTCCTGCCACAGCCTCCCGAGTAGCTGGGATTACAGGCGCGTGCCACCATACCCGGCTGATTTTCTTGTTTTTAGTAAAGACGGGATTTCGCCATGTTAGACAGGATGCTCTCGATCTCCTGACCTCGTGATCCGCCCGTCTCAGTGGCTGTTTTTTTTTTTTTTTTTTTTTTTTGAGACGGAGTTTCGCCCTTGCTGCCCAGGCTGTAGTGCAATGGCGCGATCTCGGCTCACAGCAACCTCCGCCTCCCCGGATCAAGAGATTCTCCTGCCTCAGCCTCCCGAGTAACTGGGATTACAGGCATGCACCATCATGCCCAGCTGCTTTTGTATTTTTAGTAGATACGGGGTTTTTCCATGTTGGTCATGCTGGTGTTGAACTCCCGACCTCAGGTGATTTGCCCGCCTGGGCCTCCCAAAGTGCTGGCATTACAGATGTGAGCCACCGCGCAGGCTAAGGTGGTGCACTTTTACCGAAACTACAGAAACCGCTCTCAGACACTGTAATCTGGCGTGGAGGGTGCTCGTTCATGCTCACCTGTCTCTTAGTACTCTGATCTCTGCACGGTGCTGACGGGTCTCAAACTGCAGAAACCTCGAGTTCTTGACGTTCCAAGTGTCATAAACTTGAGGAAAATGAAATTATTCATCAGGACTACAAAAGGCTCAAAGTTCAAACCACCTGGGGGTGGAGATGGCTGGAAAAAAGGAAACCATTAACAAGTAATTTGATTTGCTATATATAAACTTGCCCTAAGGCAGTTCAGATAACTTCCACTAGAGCAGCCCGAGACCTCACCGGCGGCGGCATTTTCTCCCCCGACTGCGCCTACTGCAGCCTTTCCGAGGTTTTTCCTAGCGAGGCCGAGGTATTTGAGGAATACCCCGCATCAGGACACACCTTGAGGGAAGGCGTCAAACCCAGAGGCATAGAAAAGGTGAGGGCGGAGAGCACGTCTCTTTCTGGCTGAAAGTGAGCAGCGTTTGGCCCAGCACCAACCGGAATGGGTGAAGAATCAGCTCCGGCCACCGCAGCAAATCCCACCCCACGCGGGAACTTGAAGCTCCGGCACTTAGATCCCGCGGTGGCGGGGCTCCACCAGGCCCCGGTTGCCACCAGAGGTAGCCGTAAACCCACGGTCCCCGAAACTCCTTCCGGCCCTCCCAGCCAAAAACTGGGACAACCTTCTTAGGTCCCCGGGATCCCCGCTGTGCCACCGGCCCGCCCCGCGAGTCCCAGAGTTTAGGGCCAGGGGCCCCGCCTACCTGAGGGCCCTTGCCTGGCGGACCGCGCCGAAGGAGCACTTCCGCCGGACGTACGCACTTCCGGCCTGCTGGAACCAATGAGAGTGCGGCCGAGGTGTTCCCCTCGCTGGCGTCCGGGCCGCGGGTGGTCTCCGGGAGCATTGGGGCCGGCGGACAGTGAGGGCGCGGTAAGCTCCCCGTAAGGAGCCCTTGAGAAACTGGTCTATAGGGGAGTCAGTCCAGGACCCCTTTTAGTCCCAGACATAGGGGAGTACAAGATAGTGGAGTCTTTAGGGTAGAGCATGACTCGAGGCAGGCTCATATTCAAGTCTGGGGCAAGGAGCATTGATTGACCGTTAGTTTTTTTCAGTGGAACCAAAAACTTGGGTAAAATTGCTTCTGACCTTCGGAACGGATGGATTCACCTTGGAGAGGAAAAATCCCTTTCTAGAAAAGTCCTGAGGTCTGGCACCCTTAGGCTTAACGGGGGATGGCTGGGCGTCAGAGGAGGAAGTCCTTCATTCTGAATGACTTCCCTTTCCTCCTAAATCCTTCTTTCCAAATATGTAAAAGACCACCTCCACGTTCCTGGAAGTGGTTTGCCACTCATGCTCCTTGAGAAGGAGGTAATGAGCTGTTGGGCAGCATTTAAAAAGTTACCCTTGACCAGATCGGTGGCTCACACCTGTAAACCCAGCACTTTGAGAGGCCGAGGTGGGAGGATCGTTTGAGCCCAGCCTGGGCAACATAGTGAGACCCCCATATCAAAAACTTAAAAATAAAATTACCCAGAAACTGGGTGGAAACCATTTAATGATGTTCTCAGTCCATCTTCCTGAAGTAATCCACAGGACAACATCAGTGTTCATGGTAGAATTGTTTCATAGGGGCAGTCTTTTATTTTTTTTTGAGACAAAGTCTCACCCTGTCACCCAGGCTGGGGTGCAGTGGCATGGTCTCGGCTCATTGCAACCTCTGCCTCCTGGATTCAAGCAATTCTCCTGTCTCAGTCTCCCGAGTAGCTAAGATTATAGACACGTGCCACCACGCCCAGCTAATTTTTGTATTTTCAGTAGAGATGGGGTTTCACCATGTTGGCCAGGCTGGTCTCGAACTCCTGATATCGTAATTCGTCTGCCTCAGCCTCCCAAAGTGCTGGG